ACGGAGGAGAGAGAGAGAGAGAGAGAGAGAGAGAGAGGATACTTGTTGAGCGGCGCATTAAAGGTGTGGAAATAGCCGCATAATAGGAAGTCGCAAATCTTATTAAATGGCGCGTTAAAGGTTGGAACGGGTTGCGCGATAAACGAAATGGGACACGAATTATTCGACTATTGGAAAGTGGCTTATGGGGAGCATCTCTGGGACGATGGCCTTGCCTAAAAGTCGGTAGGCTGTTGCGAAACAGCACGTGGCTGTGCGGCATCGTCGGGGTGTGGTCTCTGCGGTTTCTCCTGTTACATCATCGCGAATATATGGTCAGTCTAGTCATGCACTTTCTGGCATGTCTATTTCGTTTATTCTTCCTCCTCTTCCTCCTCTTCCTCTCTCTTCTTTTCTTTCTTCTTCTTCTTCTTCTTCTTCTTCATCTTCATCTTCGCGAGTCCCCGCACGCGCTCAGGATTTATCCACGACCGTGCATGTTACGTGGTGCACATAATCGAGTGCACGAGCTTTAATTAACGCCACGCGATTATTCGTTGGCACGAAGAACCGATTGCATTACGCACGACCAATGCATTAAGCCGTGATAATGGACGAGCACGGCAACACTTGCACGTGCTGCCTTCAATTTCTCTGAGATATATTCGATTCTGAACCTGTGTGTCCGTTTTCCTCGAACGTGAATTTTAAATTTCGAGACGAGAAATTTCGTGATCGAGTCGTGAGCGAATTGCGATGTTTCCGTTTCGACCAATCAAAATGATGCTGATCAATTAAAAGTAAAATCGGTGTGAAATTAAATCGTTCGAATCAAAGGATTAAAAAATTGCAGTTTTAAAAGATTTCGAAACGAGTTTCTTACGTTGTTGACCTCACCGATTCGCCGAGGTATTCGTTACAAGGTGAATGCTCGTGGACATTTTCTTTCTAATAAATCCAAATTTCTATCCGATTAAATATTCCATCCGCGTATAAAATTCACGTATCGCGAATATTCGGCACGAATGCGAAATCACGCGCGGTTTTCTTTGCCAAGCCTCGAGGAATCCTTCAAAGAAATTGTTTATTCAACATTCCTCTGGTACTGAGTAATCGAGTGACTCTCGATGGTAAACCAATTCCTCTTACAAATTTTTCCATTTCGATTCCTCGCTTGTGGCCACGCGCACAATTCCTCCTCCTCTGTTTTCGCATTCAGGAAAAGAGATCGAAAAGGACGAAAAGGAATCGAAATTTTTTTTTATCCCGGGCAGTCTTTGAAGTATCGGCGGATCATTGTCGACGAGTCAGCCTTGGCACCGATTGCCGGTCGTAAGTTAACGTTCGACAAGTTGGTATAATAAAACCTTCGTGTCGTTTTAAAATTTCACTCGCGTATCGCAACCGGGATACACCCGGTCGGTTCCTTTTTTCACTCCTCCCCCCCCTCCCCTCCTCTCTCTCTCTCCTGAGGCGACGTCTGACGCGTTCTTTCGCGGACCAGGTTTAACGCTACTACGACCGGTGTGACTCAGCGGCCAGCAATCTCATTCATCGAGGAGAGGAGGATTCGCGACGCGACGAATCGTGCGCGTATAAAACGCTTTCGTAAAACGCGGGTTTGGGAAGTCTAACCTTTTCTTCTAGGATGAGGAAACCGTTTCGATAATTAGACCCGGTCTTTAAACGCCCTGCCTCGTTCTTTCTAGCGTGCGAATGAGAAAAGTATATTCGTACGAAGAAAATTTCGTTTCAATCGAAAGAAAGGGGTTCCGATATCCGATGAAAGTACAACCGGAGAATAAAATACGCGAGGTGGTGCATCGAAGTTTTCGCACGTTACGTTTGCATTCTTCAAAATTTGAATATCTTGAAACATCGTTTCCCTCTATCGTTAGTTTTGGAGGTGGAAAGAATAAAAAGTTGGTACGACGCCACTCGAAGCGTTATTTATTGAGCAATCGAGATTTCCATTACGGTAAGACAGGATTTATAACTCGACAGTTAACTAACATTCTTTCACACTTTGATCTTGGTGGTGTAACGAGTATATATATGTATATATCAACACCTTACGTGACAGATCCAAAGTTTCGTTAAACACAGGGAATTTTCGCGCGGCGCGAATCAAGTGAGAAACGAACGGTGTTTCCGTGTTTCCATACCTTGGTTCCCTCCCAGTCTCTGTTCGAACGACGCGGCGAAGATTTAGCGCGCGTATAAATTGGATTTTCTGAAATTCTAACCTCGATGGCTGTAACCCCATAGGCGGAGAATTAATTGCCCCTTATAGGGAAACACACGTAGCTTTCTCAAACATCGTACATTCCTCCGCGTGTAACGTGTCGCGCGATATTTCGTCGCGGTGGAGAGATCTCGAGGAGAAGTCGGCTCCTTTCACGGGGTGAAGGACACGGAGGAGGAGGCGATTTGCGGCTCTCTTTTGACAGATGTTCCGTGAAATCGTGCCACGCAAATGGTGTACGCGCGTCAAAGCGAAGTTTGAATTTCTTTCCTCCGCTGCCCACGCCTCGCCTCGGATCCCCGATTCGAAATGCGCGTGTAATAGCGATAATCGGATGTGCGCGTGTGTGCGCGTGTGATTTCATCTCTTATTTTCACACAGGGTGTTGTCGGTGGATGGATGGGTGGGCAGTTGGAGTTGGGAGGGGTATATATCGATTGCCTCCACGCGTTTATATACTTGCCTTCGAGGTAACGACGTTGTTTAAGTAGAAAGACTCGTACGAAGAATCGTGCCTGTAATCCTATTATAGATCGTTTCCGTTACGCTAATCTTTTCCTCGAAGTATCAAGGCCGATATTCAGGGATTACGAAGATAACAATGGATATGGATTGATTGAAAAAAAAAAAAAGAAAATATACAATTCTATAACAATAATATACGTTCATTTATCGGACGAATAAAAAGAATAGCGAGCAATTGGATGGATAAATTATGGACGGATCTTCGTTGTTGAAATCGAATTTGGTAAAAAAATTTAAGACGATAATAATAGATGATGGGTAAATCGAACGATTCGATGGTCCAAGCTGGAAACGAATGTGATTCCAAAAAGAAAGAAAAAGGAAAAAAGGATTCTCTCGTACGTACAAAAGAATGATTCAACGTGGCACGCGCGTAAGTGCATCGTTGTAATTGTTGAAGAGCAGATTCGCACCAAAGATAGAGCTATTCGTCAGTCAGCGGCGTTATTTTTTCCCCTGTCTGGTTATAAATAGATACAGACAATCCGTGTCAGCGGTTTCTGACCCACGGCCTGTTTTGAAACACTTTTATTTTCTTTTCTTTTATCTCTCTCTCTCTCTCTCTCTCTCTCTTCCCCTCTCCCCGCGCGTGAAAATAACTGTCCATTTATTTCTGTACCGTTAGCCTGCCCTATATTTTTGGCCCCTTAATTTACTAAATCCAAAACACTCTGACAAATATATCCCATCTCTTCAATCTCGATTCCATTCCAACCATTATCCAACGATTATCAACAATTTGTTTTATTTAACCGGAGATCTTTAACCCTAGATCTCTTCCTTCAACGATCGAACGAATTAGCATAATGATACAGGATACAACTCACGGTACAAGTTGGAATGTGTCGCGAATGGCTGTGACAACCGCCATTGTCCTCCCGCCGTTGTTACGTAATAGAAAAAATCGTCGTCAAGCGTGTATCAAGCGCGTATTCCATCAAAAAGCATCGAGAACCGTTTCGAAAGCAGAAACGTTCAGAATCTTTCCACAACTAAATCGAGCGAAATTTCCCTTCCCTTCTCTCCCGACCACAAAATTACCACCCTTCGCAATTGTTCAGCGACCGCAATTTACATACATAAGATGGGGAATATGGTTATCGTTTATTAAACCCTCCGCGAATTCTTACGACTACGCGCAATTTCGCTCTCAGATTTTTCTCGCGAATCGATCGTCGATTTCTCCCCTCCCACCAGCTTCTTCGTTTCGCCACCATATTTCTCTTACGTATTTCCAGACAATGTTTCGCCGATTATTTTCACAATTGGACGAAAACTTGGACGAAAGACGCGTGTTTATAAATTTTCGTTCACTGCGAATAATAAGAATCGAGCAACTCGAATGCTCTCTTTGCGTCTGACGCGGATCGTGTCCAATCTACTTCTTCTTTTTTCCGTGAGGATATAATCCGATTGAGGAAAATTATTCTTCGTTTGGAAGAATCTAACTCGTTGAGAGACGCAGCGTGGTGGTGATTTGTGATTCTTCTTCTTCGTTACATTTGGAAGTTTAACTTAACGGCTTAATAATAATGATAATGAAAATACAGTGAGGAGCGTATAAATTGAAGAATATTTATTCGTTTCTTTGATTCGGAAATTTTTCCATTATTATAATATAAGAAAGAAATATGTGTAAAAGGAGGAGAATTGAAAGAAGAAATCATTTTGGTGCAACTGTAAAAATAAAATAACTGTTCGATGAGAAAGAAAAATATGTTCGTTGCAGCCGAGGTGTAAAATTAAACACAATTGAAAATTAATCAACAGTTTGTTCCTATCCCGTAATTAAACGTCCATCCAGTTTTCGAAGAGTGTGCGATTATCCTTCGCGTAACAATCGTGTAATTGGCCGGACAAGATTGCATCTCGGCGTAATCCTGCTCGATCGAGGAGATGGTGAATCATAGCATTGAACAGCGCGCACGATTCGAACTCGCATCACCATTTGCTAATTCGAATCTTCGAATTAATCTTCGCGAGAAGTGAATCGAGCCGGTTGCGCTTTTTTCTTATTTCGATCGAGTGAATGAAGAGTGGCGGATTGTTATCTGGTCGCATTAACGGCCGATTTGACGAGCAAATTGTCGACCACCAGTATCGCGTCAGTTCCTTCGTTATTTACATTGAGTCACGCCGTAAATATAGATACGCGTTCACGAAGGAACACCGCGAACGAGCTGCGATCCTTTTATCGGCTATAGCTTTCCCCGTACTTGCATCGGTGATTACCCTAATTCCTTTCATTACCATAATGAAACGTTTCCAGCTAACAATTTGCTCCCCTCGGATGAAAGTTACGCGAGAAATTATGAAGAACGAGGATAGGAATTGGGATTTTATCGAAATTGACGAAGTGACGATGGAGGTTTTTCTGAAGGTTTTTAGAAGTAGAAAAAATTTATGGGAGTAAATTTTCTGTGCTCGATAGATTAAATGCGCCGAATCGAATTTCTACGCATTTAAAAATTTCAAGCTAAATTTTAAACTTGTCCTCCTCGATTTATTCTTGCGCGCGGAATAACCATTTTCCCGATCCTATGGATAATAAATTCGTAATATTACTCTAATATTTCGTTCGTATCTAATAGAATGTGCGTATCAAGGAATCCAAGATTTTGTATGTAAAAGAATTTCCTGACATTTTCATCGTGGCAAAAACGATTGTTCCGTTTTGTCGATCCTTCCCTGAAGAAATTTGGTTCGTGTGAATGGGCGTTAGGAATCTGGATTCGAATGGAGCGAGGAAAAGTTGGGTGGCGGGAACGTCACGTCACGAAATT